CGGGAATACAAGGTGTGTTAGGTAACTAGGTTGGGGTACCTTGGCCGTGGGGAGTAGGTCAGGGACGAGGCCACATTTGAAGTGATATGTTTATGGCTAGAGAAGAGAATTGCGTTTCTACAGGCTCAAGTATACTAGTTGCAGTAAATTACGAGGTTAGAGACCTATAGTAGGGTCGTGCTTGAAGTCATACATCAAACTGACCAATTATTTGATCACGATGCACCTTGAGCTAGAGAGGTCGAGCCTTTGAAGTTCTTGTTGGAGATTTGTGGGGTGAGTTCGAGGCCGGAGGGGCATTGCTTGACCAATGATTATTGAATGCGGACAGTAAGGGCAAAAATAAAACATGATCTATATTGAAGTGCATCTAGACACCCGGTCGAGGTGGTAGGCCTGAAGTCCAGGTGTTAATATAGGAGTCATGGTATCGGCCCACGGGGTGGAAAATTGTTGCGGTCTAAAAAAACTCTTAATATCTTCTAGAATATCTAGTTAATGCAATAAGTATATATATATATATATATAATATTTAAAGACAATAATCGAGAAAAGGTGCTAGAAGGCGGAACATTGAAATTGTGGGAAAGATTGGAAAGAAAATGGTGAAAGGAAAACCTATGGCTAGAGTACTTCATTTGATGGATTTTTGCATTGCTAGAGTACTTCATTTGATGGATTTTTTCAATGCAAAAATCGATTTTATGAACCTATGGTTGATGAATTATGAGTCGAGATATTCAACGAAGCTCATAATGGTCCCTAAATTATCCAGCCAGGTAGAAGATATACCAAGAAATTAAACCTTTATAATGGTGGTCGAATATAAGAAAATGAAATAGTCTCGAATACGTAATAAAAGCTTGATTTGTCAACAAGTGAAAATAGATAAGAGACCGGTAGTGAAGATTGCAACCTTTATTGATTCTTGAATTGGAAATGGAAAAGATCACCATGGACTTCGTCACTAGGTTGCAAACTGGATATGATTCTACTTGGGTGATAGTGGATCGACTAATCCAACTAAATTGGCCCTTTTCTTCTCTGAAAAAGACTTTCAAGATGAAGCAATATTCAAACTCGTATATAGAGAAAAACGTGCAATTTTCAAGATTTCTGCTGCTTATCAATAGGAAAGCCGCTTTACGAAGCCTTGTACGGACTACGGATGAAAATGCTGATCACCATTTATTGCGATGAGGTCAGACAACGACGGTTGCTAGGACTGGAAATGGTCCAAGACATACTCCGAGCTGCTGAGAACATTCGACAGCAAACAAGTGTTCCAAGATCTTCAAATGAGTTATGCGGATAAGAGGAGAAGGCCATTAAAATTTTAAATGGGAAATAAAGTACTTACTCGATTATCCTTAATAAAGATCATGGATTTGGGCGAAACGGGAGGATTAACTCCTTGTATAAATTACAAATTTCCAAAATCCGTTAATAGAATTCTCCATTTTATCATGTATCCTCCTACTTGAAACCCATTCGGACATTCTGTCGGACTTTAATATTTGCAAACGACTAGAGAAAATACTAATGCACGAGACGAAACAACTCATAATAAAGTTCTGTTGGTATTAAAGAGGAGGCGGCCTAAAGAGGATCCAACTAATGGTTGACCTAATGAAATTGAACCATAGTCCATAGGGATTCTAAAGATAATTAAAAGATGTCCATTAACAGATAATAAAATAGAAATGGTGGGAAAATGTGCAACAATAATGCATTCTAAAAATTGCATTCCACGTGACGGATAATAGAAAGATCTTCCATTCACACGATAATGATGTCTAGTAAATGCTACCAAGTCAGTTTAAAGTGGAGCAATAGGTTCTGTCTATAACTCACATTTTAAGGAATAGAGAGCAAAAAGAAGAAGATGATTTTCTTTGTCGTGTCATATACACATAATTTAATTAATTAAGGTTGCATTGGAAATTTTTTTTGAAGCCATTGTCTCCTTTTGTTTACAAGTCAGTTTGTTTTTGGAGTTAAGATTTGCATCCAAAATTGACTGTCCAATTAAGTGTTAATCAATAATTCATTGACACACCATTTTACACCTATTTTTAAGCATAAATGATAGTTAGGGGTGGGCGTAACCCAACCCAACATTGTTGGTTTGTTCGAAATCCAACCCAACCCATGTACATGTTGAAACCCAACACAGCTCAACCCAGCCCAACCCAATTATGTGTCGGTCGGGTCGGGTCGGGTTGGGCTGGTCAATTTGGGATAAAAATAAAATCATTTCATCTTTTCTTGGTGATATAGGATATGGATTTAACTCCAATCAGTTCATCTTGAAATTGAAATTTCCATATCACTCCCAAAACAAGTTTTGCAGAAATATACGTAATGGCCCTCATTGAATCACAGCTTGCTGGAAGCAAGAAGTTAGAAGAATTAGTATTTATTACCCATTAACAGTTTAACACAATGCCGCAATCAAAATTATTCATTCATTCTGCACATAGATTTAAGACAGTTCCATGCACAATGAAGACTTATCTCAGATATTTCTTACTGCGATATCTTTTCGAGGAATACATGCTGTTGTGCATATAATACATGAAAGATTAGGAGTAGAAAATAAGCTCAAGTTCTAAGGCCATGTGTTTTGTTGCTATTTATGCATTTCGACTGTTCATATAATTTCATTCTCTTCATAGCATCACTTGCATCAGAAAACTTTTACTTTCTCCTTTTATTAGAACTATATCATAATCCACCAAACTTGTAAAAGTAAGAATTCAGAAAAAGATACAAGACCCATAATATGGTTGAGTATTAAAAAAAAGGAAAAAACCCCGAAAACTTATTCTTTTTTTTTTTTTTTTTAAAGTAGGCGACCAGGTTGGGCTTGTTTATTCAATTTTTATGTGTTAACCCATAACCCGACCCAACCCAACACTCCTACACAGCCAATCCACCCAACCCATGTAAAAACAACAAAAAAATCGACCCAACCTAGTCGGGTTGGTTCGAGTTGGGTGGTTCGATCGAATTTTGCCCACCCCAAGTGATAGTGAGAGAAAAGTTGAATATGTTATTTCAAAGTAATGTATCAAAAAATAATTTGGTGAACAGACTGAACAACAAGTTGAATAGCCAATTTTGGACAGCAGACCAACTCATTTGTTTTATGCAATGCACATGAGCATTGGAGATACGCTAAGAATTATGATACCATGCTGATGTCTTCATAACCTAATTGCTCCCATTTTTTTCTGAGTCACCGCCAAGCAAAGTATCTAACTTTCAAATTCAAGTACTCTTCAACTTTTTTTATGAAGTTAATCCAAGAAATAGAAGTAAAATTTTCTCCAACAGATTTTGAATCCTCAACTTTTCACAAATAATAATAATCGTTGATAAGTGTATTTTGTACAATTATTTATGGCCCTAAATCATGATATTTAATTGTCTTTTGAATTAAATTCTACCTAATTTATGTTAAATTATGTTTTGCAAGTAAAACTTTATGTCTAACGAAGAATTTGGGAAAAGAATACTAAAATTGAATAAAATCTGTAATTTTGAGGATTAAAGTCTATACTATGAAAATTGAAGGACTAAATTGCATTAATTATAAAGTTGAGAAGAATTGAAGAAATACAAAGTCAATGGGTTGAACTTAATTGGAATAGCACTTCAATTGCACGTGGAATTCTAAGTTGAGTGGAACTAATTGGCGGCTAGGAATTGAAAAGAGACTACAATTGATTGGAGGCCGGGGAAAAAAATATATATACACATTAAAGCAGACAAAAAAAGGGGGGTTCTGGGGCTGAAATTAGAAAATGGGAAAAAATCATATTTAAGGTGTATTTTTTACCTCAATTCAAAAATAAGGTAAATAGTTTAAAAATTCAAAAATCAAGTATTTATTTAATTAATTAAAAATATTTATTAAATAAG